TGGAGCCTGCCACTGTGCACACCCTTGCAGGGCAGGGTGGGGCACGTGCTCCCAGATCTGTGTGCAGCGCGTGTTAGAGCCGAGGCCAGGCCAGACTGCGCTCAAGGCAGGTGGTGGTGGCACTTGGAGGGGGGCTACAGGAGGGGCTGCAGCCTCTCCAGAACTCACTGTAGCCTCCTGCCCCAACCCTCTCCCAGTACCACCATTGCCCACCCCGAGTGCAGCATAACCCAACTACCCAGCTGGGAACAGCCTGGTGCAGCCCCAGCCCAGCCCACACAGAGCCACAGGCCCCCCCGCCCATGCCCTCCCAGGTGTGCATGTAACGGCGGCACTGGGAGCACGAGCCAAGTGGGAGGGGGCTCACACTCAGCAGCCACTGCCACCCCAACCACCCGCCGCCAGCCCCCTTAGCTATGCACAGAGCCACCTTACCGTGGTCAGTCACATGTGTGGCTCCATTGGCTGCTGATGGGCCTCACGCCCAACCAATCACACACTGCTGGGGACAGGCACAGAGTGCACTTCCTCCCCCACCATTTAGACCCTCACAGCTCTGCGGGAAGGGCATGGCTGCAGAGCTTGCTCACCATCAGTTATTGGCTGAGGGCAGTGGCCCAGCAGCCAATCAGGAGAATGAGCTGGGTTGGAGGGTGGAAAGGTGCCATGATGTGCTATGTGGGGCTGGCAGCACCCAGCACACCCCTCCCCACAAATAAGAAATGAAGTGTGGAAACGCGCCAGGAGAGATGCCGCTTCCACACCCCGGGGCGCACTCTATCCCCACCCGTGCTTCGTCCCCACTCACCCGCCTGTGTGTATCCCCTACAACCTTTCTAAGTACCTCTAGGGGTGCACATACCCCCAGTTGACAACCCCTGGGTTAAAGCATTCAGTTGGGAGTGGAACATATGACTTCTGTTCCCTGCCCTTTTGGATCACAAGCTGAATGAATCAACAATGTGATGCTGCCACAACAAAAATGCCCATGCAATTTTGGGATGCATCAGAGAAGCACTGTATGCAAGACAAGGGAGGTAACAGTAACATTTTTAAAAGGATGTGGAGATGTTAGAGAGTTCAGAGGCAGGAACAAAGATGATAAAAGGTAGGGCTGTGCAAAGCTTCAGGTGCTGATTCCATTCAGAGGAGATTCGCTCCAATTTGGCGACTGAATCTCTGAATCCAAATCGAAATCAGGAGACCAAAAAAAAGGTCCAAATAAATTCAGAAAAGATTCGAAGAGATTTGGAGATTCAGGCAGTCCTCGCTCGCCACCACAGGGAGCTGGACCCAGACTCCGTGCCGGTAAGTGGGGAGGGGGAGGCTGGAGGAGGCGGGAGGGGACCATGGGGGTCCCCCCACCTGCTCCCAAAGCCCCTGTGAGTGCCCCCAACTCCTGCCCACTCTCCCAGCCCCATCAATGGCTGCCCCGCCTGGCCCTAGCATCCCAGCTCCTTATAAAAAAAAAAAAAAAAAAAAAGGCCCCGCACTCACCAGCTCCTGCCAGGTAGGGAGGGGCGATCCCCGCTGCCCCCACACTGTCCCACACTGCATGCAGGGCTCTGCTATGAGCCCCCATCCCCCGCCTGCTCTCCCAGCCCTGTCAATGGCTGCCCCGCCTGGTCCCAGCATCGCAGATCTTAAAAAGCCCTGCACTCACCAGCTGCTGCAGCGGCTGTCCGGTCTTCTGGGGGCTCATGGCAGAACCCCACCATGCAGCACAGGGCAGTGGGGGGCAGCAGGGATGGCCCCCCCCCAACCTGGCAGGAGCCGATGAGTGAGGGGCTTTAAAAATCAAAAAAAAAGAGCTGGGACACTGGGACCAGGCGGGGCAGCCATTAATGGGGCTGGGAGAGTGGGCGGGGAATGGGGCCTGTTTGATTCAGAGATTCGCCCAATTCGGCAGCAGCCGAATCTCCCAATCAAATTTGCCCAAATCAATTTGGGACAGTGATTCAAATCACCTAATCGAGTCACTGTCCCCTGAATCGGCCAAATCTGAATCCGAAGCGAATATTAACTGCTTTGCACAGGCCTAATTAAAGGATTTGGAAAGCAAGTCATATGAGGAGAAGCTGAAGGAGCTAGGCATGTTCAGCTTGCAGAAAAGGCGTTTAAGAGGGGACATGATAGCAGTCTTCAAATACTTGAAGGCCTGCCATCCCCTGCCATAAAGAACAAGGAAAGCACCTTTTCTCTCTTGCTGCAGAGAGAAGGACACAGACCAGTGTCTTAAAGTTGCAGCAAAATAAGTTTAGATTGGATATCTGGAAAACCTTCTTCACTGTTAGAACAGTGAAGCAGTGGAACAGACTGCCTAGGGAAGCTGTGGACTCTCCATCAGTGGTGTTCAAGAACAGGTTGGACAGTCACTCATCAGGGATGAACTAGGCATAGCTATGCCTATGTTATACTATGGGTATTTCCTATGCCTTTGGGCTTTGCTTTTCTTTGCTGTTTTTGCTGGTTTTACCCCTTCTGCTAGATGTGTTAAGGTGTTTTTAAGCTTCCTCAGAGGCATTGAGTGTTGGCTACTGCCAAGCCTGGGGACTTTGACTGGGGTATGCCAATGCTCCTGCTGAGACCAAAGCTAGAAGTTCTTGGCTAGAGTGTCTTCCCCCTCCTCTTGGGGTCAGGTCAATTGCCATATTTCAGGTCAGGAAGGAATTTTACCCCATGGTCAGATTGGTACAGATTGTGGGGGGTTTTGCCTTCTTCTGTAGTGAGGGGGCATGGTCCTCTACCTGGGATCCCTCAAGTATAACACTTCAAAGAAACAGGACATTGGCTGCCATGGTTCCCCCACCTTACCTATGGCAGGGGGGGGGGGGTGGGGTGTGTGTTTGACAGTAGTCTTATGTAGAGTTTAGACTACAGGTTGTAGAGGATGGTTTGGATATGGATGATTCTATCTCAGGCAGGGGGTTGGATTAGATGCCCTCTGGAGGTCCCTTCCAGCCCTACTTCTCTATGATTCTCCTCAGCACTAGCTAGTTCTGTGCTGAAGAACTGTATCCAGTTCTAGGCATATTTTAAGAAGGATGCAGAAAAACTGGAGGTGGTTCAAAGAAAAGCAGTTAATATAAAGGTTGAGAGATTTGGATATTCTTAGCTTGGAGAGAGGAGATTAAAAGAGACAGGATAACAGTTTTCAAATATTTGAAAGGCAGCCATAAAGACTACAAAGAAATATTGCTCTCCTTGTCCAAAAAGGACAGGACAAAAGGTAATGAGTTTAAACTACAACAAAGGGATATAGGTAGTAGCCACGTTGGTCTACGGACATAGGCAGACAAGATTTTTGGAGGTAACTCTGATATCTTTTATTAGATAGACTATTTGAGTTGGTCTAATAAAAGATATCAGAGTTACCCCAAAGAACTACAGCAAAGAGGATTTAGATTAAACCTTAGAAAAAACTCCCTAACTATAAAACCAGTAGCACAATGGAACAAGCTGCCTAGAGAAGTTATAGGATACTCATTATTGGAGGTTTTCAAGATGAAGCTGAATAGGTATCTAATGATTTTGAAATGGAAAATCCTGCATCTGTGCAGGGGGATGGAGTAGGAGACTTAATGTTCCTTCCAATTCTAAGATTCAAATTAAAAGCAAAGAAAAAAATACATAACAAATAATGGTCTAAACCTCTAAAAACCAGTATGTTCTGAGGTATTCAGAATACAACAAAAAAACCCCCTTAGTTTCTGTCTGCCTACTGGCAGCCTGAAATTTACTGCTTTCAGGTAAGGAAGAAGTAGAAAGAACAGGGGTATTGTGCTACCTATAAATCAATTTTCCTGTATTCCATAACACTTGAGGAAAGTTGAGATTAGTTTTTCAATGGGAATTGTGAGGTTTCTTAGGAGGCAAATATCATTCTAAGACATATAACTAGAAAGGGGGTGATTTCTACACTCTTACTTTGGTTAGTTGGGCCCTGCACTTTAAGAAAGATAGATCAATTGAAGAGAGTCCAAGAGAATGCAACAAAAATGGCAAGAGACTAGAAAAATGACCCACCAAGAAAAAGCTGGAGGAATTTGGGTTTTTCTCTAGAAAAGTGAAGACTGAAGTAGACATCACAGTCTTCCCACATATTTAAATATTTGTTTTACATATGTAGATATTTTAATGAAAAGTATAGTGATAAATTGTCCTCTGAATCCACTGAGATTAAGCTGATTACTTCTTGCTCTATTTCTAACAAAAAAGATGTATGTCAGGCATCAGGAAAAAGTTTCTAACTAAAAGAACACGTGAGCACTGGAACAAGGCTACCTACAGAAGTACTGTAACTTTCTTCATTGGAAGTGTATGAGAATAGGTCAATCACCTATCTGGAGGGTCTTAGTATACTATTCCCACCTCAGGCCCCATCCAGCCCCACATTTCTATGGTTTTATAGTGGGACCAAACTGTTATCTGACAGCAGACAAAATGAATGCAAAAAAAGACTGTTCTGCCAAGGGATATTACAACCTTTAAAATTACGCAACATAAATAGCCTTATAAAAACTTATAGAAGAAGTACAAATCAGGAAGGAATAAATATGTTTTTATGCAAATTATTTTAATTTTCCCCTTTTCAAATTTCCCAAAGTCATAAATATACATACTGTGCTGGTGCCATCTCAACCCTGAGAAGGCGATCCTTAGCATAACAACCTGGTAATGCTGAAAACCCAATCCTGTTTTGCTTCATGAGTAGATGTACTTTCCAAGATTTTTAATAGAAACAAGGCTGCTCTTTAAAGAGGACAACTATTCATTCTTTATAGTTATTTTTTTCCATCAAATAGCACAATTTAACACACAAAAAACCCAGGAAAATTAATTGCATAAAACATAATTGTACATACCTTATTTCTGACACAACAAGTATATGGCACTCCACACGCCAATGGCCCTGGTGCAGAACAATCATGGTATGGATTCTTTGTCCAGTCTTTATAATCTTCTCCACCACAACACTTGAACTTTAAAAATAAAAATAAATAAATCCCGTCTTGACATACGCTGCTTTTCTAATACTTGCAAAATAAATAAGAGTATCATGATTAATCTAATGGTAATATTAGCAACATTAAGGGTAGCTATGTTCCTCCATGATTTGTTAAACTAGTAAAGTAACAGACACCAAGTCCACTTGTGTTTTCTTGACAGACTGTTGGTCTTTGTTTGGACATAGTGACATTTTTTTTCTTTGCTGGATTTTAAGCTAGTCATTTTGGATCTGGCTCTTTAAAAGAACAAGCTTGAAATCAAGTTGTAAAAAGAAAAAATATATATATTATTTTACTAATAGGGTGACTGATCCTCAAAACCAATACTGTAAATGTACATCATTCCATTTAACTAAAAGCAGTCACCTAGCATGTTTTATGAAGAAAAGTATAGGTTAATTTAACATTAAAATTCACAATCACTGTGAATATACATAACTAATGTGAGAACACACTTTTAAAGGATCTGAACTAAAATAACAAGATTTCCTAATGGTTTGTTTTAGGAAAATCTTTCCATGTTAACTTTGGTTTCAAAAGACAGACCAACATTTCCATAGCAATGTTATAAAACTTATCTTCTATAGCCAAGTTTTTAAAAATGTTTTTATGGTCATCGACATCTATGCCACACACAGGCCCCATTAGCACACTTCAAAATATTTTCTGTCTTCTACAGTCACTGAAGTGCACGAGAATTTTTAACTAACACAATAACTATTTCAACACAGCAGCTTTAAAAAAAGGGCTATGAGTCAACTACATATGTTATTAAGTAATTTTCAGCTGTGACCAGTGCAATCTCTGAATTTAATTACAGGTATTTTTCCAGTAAGTGTTTCAGTTTAAATAAAGGCCTTACTAAAGAAGCTTCTTAATCAAAACACTGCATAGCCTTCATAGGGGGACATTCAGGGGCCGAAATCTTTACATTGTCTTCAGTAGGTTTAGAGTGGGCCCTTAGGGCCACAAGTATGGAGGAGTGCAATTTGCACTCCATCTATCATTTAAATGGAAGTTGGAACTCCATAGGGACCCTGCCAGAGTCCATAGATGACACATGACAACTTATTCCACTGGTAATGGGAGTTGGACTAACACACCAAAAGACTATAGCTGCTTGGAGACAAAAACAACAATAAAACAACGGTGCTTTACCTTAAACTTGGTGCATTCCTGCACCCAGAAAAGGCAATATGTTAGTTGGACCTGGCTCACCCAATGTCTGTACAGATCAGACACTTTAGTGGGGCTTTTTTGGCACCTTTATCTAATAGCTGATTGAATCAGCTATTAGATAAAAGCGGCAAAAGTCCCCACTGAAGCACCCAATCTATACAGATGCGCTGCTTCATTCAATAAAGCTCAGTTTTCTTTTTTTTTTTAAATGTCTGCAAGCAGCCTATGTGATTAAATCCTCCTGGATGTGACTTCCCAGGAGACAATCTAGTGAGGCCAACAGGCACTCCTAGGTGGGAGAGTGCCACTGTCTCCCACCCCGAGCACAGCGCAGCCCAACCCCACCATCAGGAAGAGCCCAGTGCAGCCCCAATTAGACAATTAGACAACAGGTGCACTCCCAGGTGGCACAAGAGAAGCAGGCCAGCCACTGCAAATAGTTGTATATGTTTCTGTATGTAATAGAGCAGAGGTGGGCAAAATGCGGCCCACAGGCCAGATGCAGCCCGCCAGGCCATTCTATCCAGCCCGCAGGGCCCCTTCAAAATTTAGAAAATTAATATATATCTGCCCCTGGCTGCCTGTCATGCGGCCCTCGATGGCTTGCTGAAACTCAGTAAGTGGCCCTCCGCCTGAAATAATTGCCCACTCCTGTAATAGAGTGCTCTATATCATAAGCTTCCAGATATTCTAGAATATACTCCAAAACAATTTATTACCAAGGATGACAATGAGGATGTTATCACCTCTTCCATTCTGAGATTGCTTTTAGTTTAACGATTTTCAGGAAAAACAAACCTCCTTTTGAACAAAATCCATTATGTTTTTGAAGTCCAGGTCATCATAGTAATTTTGAATTCCTCTTCGGATATTTTCATTTAAAAAGTCAATTGTCTAGAGGACAAAAGGAAGTTAGACAAGTTAGAAAAGAATCAAGCTCTAACGATATCTTGAGCTTGTCAGTGAACACAAACCTAATACAAATAAACATATTGCATTTGTAGAAGTAATTCATAAATAACTTCTCCCCCAATTCTGCACAGAATGACACACCTCCTTTCTTTTAAGCACAAAACCAGTCCCATTGACCCTTCTCCTTTAGTATTAATCACGTGTGTTTTTAGAAGAACTTAATATTTATTAGAATGCAGTGACATCTAACACATATCTCTCTTGACTACAGCTCCTGTTCAGCCTCTCCTGCCGTGGCTGCGTCCTGATCATCAACAACCTGGCAGCTGCTACTCTGGCACAGTTGTGCTATCTTGGAGCTGTCAATGACTCCATTCAAAAGGCTCCAGTAAGCTGTCCTTTACCTGCCACCCACCAACAAGGGGTGTCAGGACCTGACTGACTTGGCAAACAGGGTGACTGTCTCTGCCCATAAATGCTTCAGCATCTTCTCTTTGCTGATGATCCCTTCTCCTGGCAATGACTAGTCTCTGCTTTCCTGTGTCAAGTAGAAGACCTCAAACACAATCAAGAACTCTTCCTCTTGGATCCTGATGGCCTTGGTCAGAATGCCCTCCCACCTTTTACTGCAGCCTCGCATCTTCAGAAAGTTTCCCAAACAGAACTATGCCACCAGCCCCAAACCAAGCTGACCTTCTCACTCACCAGCACTGATACTCCCTGTCCCCAGCCAACCACAACCTTCTGATCCTCTCTCAAGCAGGTCTCCCACTCAGATTCCCCTGTTTGCTAGTTCTGCGATCATTGGCTTCTGCATGCACTGATTTGTCCTTGTGTGTTGGCTTAAGACAGAATGTTGTAGGCAACTTTGAACTTCTAAGCAGTTGTATGGATATGTGTGGTACAAGTCATATGCCTCTGATTCACAGAATTATAATTTTCAGTGTTTGTCCTAGCACTGTAGGTTAGATGACTATTCAGGGAATACAATTAAAAGCAAGAGGTGACTGATGCTGTCAGCCTCTCAGAAGCTGGAAATTAAGGTACTGGCAAAAGCAGACATCAGTCCATCTGTGTTCGAGAAAAAGGTCAGATGTTCGTGGAGGCCCAGACAATTAGACAATGCTACCAGCTCTCCTAATCTTATCTTAAATCTCATCATATTTGGTGTTTTCCTAAAAACTCAAGCTTGGAAAACTATCCAGGTTTTCATCAATCCCCAGAAGGATGAGGAGACTACATGCTGCAGAACCTAAAGTGGGTGATCATCTTGCAATGTGTTTCTTCCAGCCGGAGAACTAGAACAAGATGGGAGGTAGTTAGCCCCTTGTTCCTATAGCCCCACATTCATTTAAACCAGGGGTGGGCAAAATGCCCGATCTGGCTGAAAGCCGGACTCCATTTCCCAGCAGCCCCTGCCCACATGGCTTGGTCCAGTCTCTATGGAGACCCCAGCCACACCTGGGTATGAGAGCTCAGATTGGGGTTGCCTTGGAGACCAGCCGCACCCACTCTGGCAGCACACACAGCAGAGCAGCACAGGGGGCTGCTCCGGAGCCACTGGGAATTTGCAATGGGGACCGCTTGCTCTGGAGCCAGGGCAGAGCCACAATCTGTAGCCTGCATGCTCTGGGCAGGGGTGCACAAGCAGGGGATGGCAGCTCTGCCCCGGCTCCTTGCAGCAGTGACAGCCTGGTCTGGAGCCTGACCAGAGAGACAATCCCCTGCTTGCGTGCCCCATTACGGCTGCGTCTGGTCTCCATGGCAACCCCAGCCTGAATTTTCCTGCACAGGTGCAGCTGGGGTCTCCATGGAAACTAGCCCAAGCTATGAGGGCAAGGGCAGCTGGGAAATCATATTCAGAAACTGATCAATCCCTTTGATTGTGTCTGCTCCAAACAATTGAAGGGAAAAATCTGGAAATGGGAATACATAGATATAGTTACCCTATTTTTTTCTTGAAAATTAGGCTTAAGATACAGGTGAAAAGGGCAAGGATGACAAAGACAAACCCAGCACCAACAAAAAAAGTAGCTAGCATGCTGGAAAATTCATCACCACATTTTGGGTGCAGACAGAAGTCACATTTTTTGTATGATCTAGCCCCTGAAAGCACTCTAAAGCCATGACATAACATGTGTGCATGGTTGCAGAGTGCTTTTAAAATGGCTGATCACATGGAAAATTAACCCTCAAGGGTTCGTTTTTCATGCAGGGGTGAGCCTGTCAGCCAGGGAGGCAGGGGGAGGTGGGCAGCATAGAGTAGCCAGCTTGGGTTTGCCCAAGCTGGAGGGGGCGGGGAGCTGGAATGGAGCCCCCTTGCCTCATGGGTCTCCCCAGCCACCCCGGCAGGGACACAGGGCCCACAAGGTGAGGGGCTCCATTCCTCCTCGCTCTGCCCCCCCAGCTTCAGCTGGGCCTCTTGAGGGTGGCAGCAAGCATGCAACGTCTGTATGTGGGCGTGTGTTTTTGTTTGTGTGTGTGTTTGCGTATGTTTTTGTTTCTGTGTTTGTGTCTTTCTGTGCTTTTGTTTCCATGTGTGTTTGTGTGTTTGCATGTTTTTGTTTCCGTGCTTTTGTTTCCATGTGTGATTGTATGTTTTTGTTTCTGTGTGTTTGTGTGTACATTTTTGTTTCTGTTTGTGTGTTTTCTCTGAGTGTTATTGTGAATGCATGTGTTTGTGTGTGAATATTTGTGTTTGTGTATGCTCATGTGCATCTTTTTTGATTTTGTGGATGTGTGGGGCATTAAACAGTAAAACATGAGCATTTTTCCCCAACTTTACAATTTTTTTATATGTAATTGTTTTTCTGACTTCTTCATTTTAAAGGTAATATTTAACCATTTCTTCCTGTCATTACCCTTTATATCAGTACATTTTTTCCCAATATTACCATTTTTAACGTGGAATTTTCCTATATCTTTCCCACTTATCATTTTTTAAATGTTATGATTTTTATTAATATTTTCACAACTTCACTGTTTTTAAAGATAAAATTTCAACCTTTTTACAATTTTTTCTAACCACTGTTTTTAACAGTAAAATATTACCATTTCTCCTGACTTTTTTACCATTTTGAACAGTAAACTATTATTTTTAGATCATTTTACCAGTTTTAAGGGTTAAAAAACAGCTTCTCTCAACTTTAACTATTTTACAGTAAAATATACAATTTTTCCAACTTCATTCTCCAACTATAAAACTAAAAAAAAGTTTTAGTTTTTACCCTCTTCAAGACAGTACCATATTTTAATAATAAAGAAAAAAAACAAAAAACTTTTTCTTACTTGTTTACCATTTTTAATGGCTAAATATTACCATTTTGTTTGCCTTTTTCTGACTTCACCTTTTTTAATGGTAAGGCGTTACGTTTATTCCCCCCAACTTCTTTTTCTCCAACTTCACTATTTCTTAATGAAAACATTTTGTTTTTTTCTGGCTTCACCATTTGTAACAGTAAAACATAACCATTTTTTCACCATTATTCCAACTTTTCTTGGTTTTTAACAATAAAATTTTACTTTTTTTTTCTCCTGACTTCACCATTTTTTATGGTGAAAAATGCTTTTTTCCTAGTTTTTACCATTCTTGATGGTTACATTTTACATTTTTCCCCCTAGTGTATTTAAAGATAAAATTATACCTTTTTTCCAACATTACTATTTTCCTTGAATTTTTTTGCCATTTTAAAGGTAAAATTTCATCATGTCTTCTGAAAGCAGTTTTTACTGTCTTTTTTTTTTTTTTTTTTTTTACTGTTTTTAATGGTAAAAATTACCTTTTTAACCATTTTTTTCTGACTTCAACATTTTCAACAGTAAAATATTAGTATAGGCACAACAGTAAGTTCTTAGCATTCTTCTGACTTTCTAACTGTTTTAAACATTAACATGTCACTTTTTTTTAATGGTTTTGTGAATTTACCTTATTTTAATGGTAAAATTTTAAAAACAACTTCCCCTTTTTAATGTTAAAATTTACCCTTCTTCTACTATTCTTTCTGATTATAGTGGTTTTTTGTGATCAAATTTTACCACTTTTAATTATTGTTTCTGACTTCACCCTCATTTACTGTTTTTCCTGCCTTTTTGATTTAATGGTCAATTTTACTTTTTTTTTTCTTTTACTATGTTTCCTTCTTTTTTGTTTTTTCCCATTTTTATCATAAAGTTGGGAAATGTTTGTTTTTTTTTAAATGGTAAATTTTTTGATAAAGTCTAATAAAAATGGTAAAAAAGGTAATTTTTAGCAATAAAAACAGAAAAATTACCATTAATAACAAAAAGGCAGAGGAAAACCATTAAAGATTATAAAAATTACCATTTTCCCCAAACTTTTTACCAATTTTTAGAATAAAATTTGACCTTTCTTTACTGTTTTTTCTGACTTCACCATGTTAAATGGTAAAATTATATCTTTTTTAATTGTATTTCCTACCTTTTTTAAATGGTAAAATCTTACTATTTTATAATTTTTCTGACTTTGTTGTTTCTTAACAGTAAAATTTTACCACTTTTATCTGTTTTTTCAGATTTTATCATTTTTCCCAACTTTTTTACTGTTTTTAACAGTAACATTTTCCCCCAACTCTGCCATTTCTGAAAGAAAATGTTTTCACTTTTTTTAACCAGTTTTCCAAGTTTTTTGGGGGGGTTTTTTGGAGGGGGTGCCATTTTTAATGGTAAAATGTTACTGGTTTTTCTAACCTACCACTTTGGAGTAAAATTTTATCTTTACTGTTTTTCCAACTTCATCATTTTTTAACCAAAAGATTTACCATTTTTCCCAGGGTTTATACCCTTTTAATGGTATTTATTTTCCATCAAAAACAGGAAAGTCAGGAAAAATGTTACCTTTATAACAGGGGTGGAAATTACCATTTTTCCTCCTTTTACTATTTTAATGGTAAAAATTTACTGTTTGCCCCCAAGTTTTTCATCTTTTTTAACGGTAAAATGTTTCCCAACTTTGCCAGATTTAGTGGTGGATTTTTAGTTTCAATATGCCCTACATATCTTGTTGGCTGCAAACAGAACAAATTCATTGCTGCTGCACAAAACAGCCTTCCATGTCTAAATACATATAATAAAAAGATAAGATGGTCATCTAAAAAAAAGTTCTCCTACATATCTTACCTATATACACCTACCACACTTTCACAGTAACTACACATTATTTTCTTTCTTGATCAAATTAATCAGAAATTCTATTCTACTTATACTCATCAAATTCCAAATTGTGGCCATCCATTAAGAGACTTACAAATAACAAAGTGCTGTGCAATATTATTCTATCTTCTAGACAATCAATAGGAGGAGATAGACAAGATCTCCTGTTACTTTTACTGCAGGAAAAACTTCTGCCTCAGTTGAACTAGAATATCACCTATTACTAGCGTACCTTGAAACATCATCAGATTTAAGAAAAAAGCAAAAACGTTGTATCAAATACTCAGGCTTTATATCTGAATCTTGGGAACAATATAATCTGTTTTGAGTGAAAAGTACTGTAATTCAGTATTACTCATTTTCAAGCCACAGTAAGCGTACTGTACAATGAACATGACGAATCCAAAATAAGAACAACCACAGCCCTTAGAGAATACACACATGGCCCTACCAATACCAATTGTCATAACAACTTCAAATGTAATGTATGCACTAAAGCAATGGGGATAAGCTGTACAAAAAAGCTACGTTAAAAACAGATACACACCTGATACTTCCATTGTAATACAAGATAAAGTATGACAAAGAAATGCCGGTGAATTTCTTACAGAAAGTATGACTCAAGGAAAAGCAATGCAACTTACCAGCTTTGAGAAAGAAGCAGAGAAAGATGAGAAAATGAACAAGCAAGTGACTCATGCAAAATGCCAGCCTTTATTGCAGTACGTATTTCAATGCAATGCATCACTGAATTATTCAGACCTTTTAAAATTGCTTCCTTATCCCCAAATATTAACATGAAGCTCTCCTAACAGAAGTTAGTTTACTGTCAGGTCTCTTCAGTTCTCAGCCTCCCTGCTTAAACAGCCAAAATCAACAGAAACAAAAAAAATGACCATTTGATCCATTTTCTCTGTTAAAAATCAACAGCAACCTTCTGTTAGTCTACAAAAAATTAATTGAATCCAAAACTGCTTATTTACAATGACATATCTTCACTCTGATGCTTTCCAATGAATTATGCACTATTGCTGGATTTCATTTTGATGCTTCCTCTTCATACTCCAAGTGGAATTTAGAGTAAAAATTTGTGTGATATAAGAGTAAGTTAATTTCACTGTTTCTTATTGTCAGGGGTATGACTGGGATGTGCACGATTGGGGCTTGACCCTAAAAGAGTCATAACCAGGGATCCTGGTTTTCTCTGATAAAAAAAAAAAATCACAGATTCTCTGATGAAAAATTAAATATTCTCTGACAAAACCCCCAAAATCCGTTATTAAAATTAAAAGCCCCCTGCAGCAGCCCCCAACCCTGCTGGTGCCCTTCAGACCCCCCAATGCCTCCCCCAGCCCTGCTGCTGCCCCTCACTGCTCCCAAAGCCCCCCAGTACTGCTGGTGACCCTCACTGCCCCCATAACATCCCCCCCACCCTACTCATGCCTCTTGCAACAGCAGACAGCTGCAGCAGAAGCAGCATGGAGCCAGCTCCCCCACTGCTGCCACCTGCTTGGGTGGGGCCAGCTCCTGGCTCCCCCAGCCCTGCTGGTGCCCCCCAGCCATGACCTGCAACCCCCAGCCCTGCCAGAGGGGCCTCCAGCCCCCTGCAAGCCCCACTTACCACTCAGGCTCCAGGAGCGAAGAGTGAGGCTGAGCTGAGCCCACCGGAGCAGTGACTGAGTGACAGCCTCAGGCCCCACCCCTCCCCCTCTGGGCAGGGCTTAGAGTTTCTTGCCCTGTTTGCAAACAGCTTTTGCAGGCTAGAGCTCAACCAGCCTGCAGAACTGTTTGCAGAAGCAGGGAATCCACGGGTTTCTCTGCTAAAAGGAGAAATCCACGTTTTTTTCTGATAAAAATGGGAAATCTATGGTTTTCTCCATTTTTCTGTGGGAAACAGAAAACCTGAATCCCTGGTCATAACCCAGGGGATCAGGAGCAGACAAGATCAACAACAGACAAAGTCCAGACTAGTCAAAAGTCAGGGGATCAAGAGCAGGCAGGTCAGGAGGCTGAGGTTTGTAAGGGACCTCATGGTCACTGTGAGTACAGCCACAAGGCAGAGGGGTCAGGAACAGGAAACAGGAATCCAGAGCACAGTCACTAGCCAGAGGGTGCAGAACAGGCAGCTGTAGCTGTAAAGGACTAAATGTGGGCAACTGCCAAACTAAAGCTACAAGCTATGAGCCACGAGTTGGCTATCAGAAGACAGGGGATTGGACAGGGGTCAGGAGCAAAGAGTGGATCAGAAGCCAGCAAGGCTGGAGTCTGAAATAAGGAGTCAGCAGGGAGAAACCAAGAACAAGGATGAAGCCAGTAAGCCAAGAAGCAGGAACAAGCAGTAAGAAGTCACAAATAGGTAGGAACAAGGGTGCAGGTGCTTGTACACATGACAATCATCACCATATACACATGACAAAAATTTCCTCTGTGTGGCTTAAGAGCATCACACAATACATGTATGCAAGGTTTGGCAGTTTCAAATGAGCTTGCAATCTTGCAAACTAAACCACATCCCCATGTAGTTTAGTTTGCAACACTGCTACTTGCAACATTGCAGCCTTTAATCTGCCAGTTCATCCCCTGGCTGCGGGAGAAGCAAACTGGGTCTGCCAAAAAATAGGATCAGGCCCCTCACCGCTTCTCCCTTCAGCAGGTGCCTGGTGACCACAGGCACCCACTGAAGGCAGAAGCAACGAGGAACCCAAACCTTTTTTATTTATTTTGTTTTGGTAGA